GGCATACGATGACGCACACAGCGATAACGTGTCCCACACACTTTCGCTGAGTTAATAAAAAGTGCTTGAATTCTTACTATTTTCTCAATTGCCCGGATTTTAAGTGAGTCTTATAAATGCTTATTATTGTCATTTACTACTAGATATACACTGACAAAGGTTCTTGTGGAAAACCACACAAGATTCATTTCTGAAAATTAGAATTTGGGTAGCAAATATGCCCAGTGCATGGAAAAAATATATATTGTTTTAAAGGATTAATATAATGTAAGGACATAGACGGATGTATTGAGGAAGACTATTTTCTCAGAAGGCTAAACAATTGTATTGAAACAACTCGTGTTAAATGAAGATACCTTAAAATGTGCAAGAATAGAGAATGTTTCAATTGACAAATAGAATTTAATCCTGACAGCTCATGAATGTGCAAAAATATTGAAATAAAAGGAGGTTGAGATAATTTTGAGTTGAAGCCTTATAGCAAGAAAGAAAAAGAAATCGAATTTTCAATTGTAATTCCTACACTTTCACTCAAAGCTTCTTTGTCATGTCAAAGACACGATGCTTCCAGGAGAACTCGAATTTCCACATCATTTGAGCGCTTTGGTTAAAGTGCTGCCTCACCAAATAGCAAATAAATGTGATTTGCATTTGATTTATCAAGTTGAGATGGAAAGACCAGTCACAAAACATACCAAAACGGGCAACAGGATCCGAACACTGTGAACAAAATCCAAGTACATAAATAGGACGAATGTTGAAATTGAGTATTGAAGAGTGCACGTATGGCTCTATTTCCTGCTCAACTAACATTTCTTTTCATTCACTAATAAAGCACAATGGAAACAACAATGGTGATCTCGCTCACATTCCATTTTTGTCCACTTTTTAAGAGTAGATGCTGCGCCAATCTAATCCACGTCTTTTGACACTATTCTCACTGCAAAAGGAAGACCATTGTGATCTCCACGCAACTGTGGAAGTATGTTGTGAGTTAATGAGAAATAAAGCGGTAGCGCAATGACCGTCGGTCTTTCATTCAATTTGCCAGTCACTATTTGACAACTTTAGGTGAACATGTGTGTGGTGCATCATGTTGCGGTTATAGACACATTTCTTGAGAATAAGGCCGAGACATCGAATTGTTTACTCTTATTTATCTATTTACCAAATATGAGGTGCGCAATAGACTTACCTCCGCGTGATGCACCTTGGGCGACGTATACTTATACGAAAAAAAAATCTATAAACCGGCAGTTGATCTCTGACCCCACTGTGTGTCATATTCGACCACAACGACAGCACTCAGCTTACTCTTTCTAAGCTTTTATGTCTGTCTGTCTCTTTTACATCTGTGTATCACTCTTCCGTTCCCCCTCTCGATTTTTTCTCATTTTGATGTTCCTCCCTCCCCCCTCTGTGAAGCCCCGAAGTCAGCTAAAGGGCTAATGATGACTATCAAAGTGCCTGCCATTTAATAAAAATAAATTATTTATTTACCAAATATTAACTATCTTATAGTTGCTATCGAAATTTTGGCAATGTTGCAGCTCAATATCGTAAAAATATCACATTTGTATCACTCTACTTCACCCGCCTCTCACTCTCTCTAGTTCTGCCATTTCTCCTCGCGTTGAGTCATTCTTCTTCTGTTAATGCTCTAATTCAACCTTTCACCACATCATATCGAAACACTTTGTACCTCTGATGACACACTGTGAGCAACAAACTGTTAATACTATTCAAAATGCCAAAGATAGACCAATGTAACCTCCAATCTCTAATTGAATTGGAGGAAGATTTTGTGATGGGGCTATAAAGCTCTTTGTCTTTAAACTACTTCCTCTGTCATTTTTTATGCTAACCGGTCAGGAGAGTATTGTACCGTGTCGAAAACTAACTGCTACAATTGATTCAACTGTTCTGGTCTTTCATTCCACTCACGCGATTCCATATCTCTGGTAAGCAGAAAAGTTTCACTGCAATTTTCAATTTATTCGCATCTATGTCAGGAGAGAATTGCAACTTATTTACAAATTTATGCCAAATAGTTGCACTTGACCTTGAAATTCTTCCCACTCACGTGGTTTAACCTTACTGAGAGACCATCTCTGTGCCTGAGAATAGGCCATTGTTGAGTCGATCTTGCGTAGCTGCTTACCACGATAGCAAATGCAATCAAATAACAACTTTACCATATTCAACATAGGGAATGTGTTTATTAGTCGAAATTGGAACTACTTTTAAATAAATATTTTGAAATACCAATCATATGCCAGTTCTTGTAATGAATTAATATCGTGATACTTAGTCACAAACTCAAACATTGCATTGACTCTATTACCACTTGAGCTGAGCAATTTAAATTTTCCTACCCATGCAATGCATAATTGACCCTACTTTAACCTCACTGCTCCATTCTGTTCTTCCTTTAAGTGTAAAATCTATGCTACTTCAACAACACTCACTTTTAGCAAAGTAGATTCCAGCGTTTCTTGGTGAATCGAACGACTTAGGAGAACTTTGGCTGCACATTCATTTATGCACTTGACAGCTAGCGATTTGGTCAACAACATTCTTTGCACATTCCGCAAGACAATCCACGCAATACAAACTTAATCATTAAACGCTTTCCACTATTAGTAAAAGCCTCTTTACATACCATGTCTTATTTATGCAACTGCCTGGTAGATAATACAGACAAGTGCAGATTGAGCACTTTTGGCAAAAGATTTATCCCACATTTGATTGACTAACTGTCCTCGTTGAGACATATTTATGCGTGCGTATTCATTCAAAGGCACCAAATTGACTTTGAAACCAAATGTCATCGAAAACTAATGAAATACAGAAGGAACAAGCCGATTCCTACTGTCGATTTTTACCCAAAGTTGCCTATATTTGGCCATCGTAAGCAGGAAATAATGATTTCCCATTTATGGGCACTTGATGCACTTCTAATTGGCTACAGATTATATTTTCTCTTCACTTCCAGTCCCTCTGATTCCTCCACTGGACTCTATGAGGCACTGGCTACCATTGGTGGACTTGCAGTATTTATCCATGCGTTTGGACTGCTCCTTAAGAGCACGCCAACTCGCAACTCTTGTATAAAGGTAAGTGCTGTTAAGTCAACATCCTATTGCCTGTAGTACCATTGGGCTATTGCTGTAGTAATGTCAACGAAGTTATTGGCTGTCTTCCTGGTAACATTTCTTCAATCTTCCTTGGCTATAGTTATTACTCTTTTCACCAGCAGCATCTTAGGCGAACTGTCGATTCTCGTTACGTTAGATGATTTCAAAATTTTTAACCCAAATAAAAAAATTGTCATTAATATTTTTTCCCCATTTACTATGATCCTTTCGGTAATACGTTAATAAATGTCCATGAATTTTGCTTTAATTTAAATTTGTTTTCGACATTTTAAAATATTAGTTCACAAATTCGTCGAACTAATTAGTGCACAAATATAAGATATTTCTTTTCTACCTACTTAAATAAGTGAATAAATTTACCATATACATTTGTTCACATTATATTACTTCCAAAATGTTTGTATAAAATATTTGAATTCTTGCCCATCATTTTTCCAGCCTTTCAAATTTGTGCTACAAATTTCTCCCAAGAATTTATTAATAAATATAAATAAATATAAATAAATATTTTCAAAAATTGGAATTTTTACTGCAAATGTGTCTCGAGTATTGGAAACTTTAGTTGCAAGGAAATAATACAGCATAGGCAAAATGAATGTGTTAAAAAGGTGAATTTGTCAAAACTCAAAACCGATTAAATTTCACCAAATCCTTTTGATTGGCGACTTTTGAAATAGGGTGATCGATGGCAGGGAAAGAGAACGATTTATTTACCAAATATAAGAAAATCTTGACAACTCAAAGATGTGTGAAGATATTGAGACTAAATAAAGTTGAGAAGTTTTTGAGTTCCACTGGTATATTAGATGTGTAGTCAGATTACATGCCTTCCTTCGCAACCTCATTCTTTCCGTTCTTTGTCACCTTGACACAAAGAAGCGCACTCTTAATGGTCTAGAGATCATAGTTTCGATAGTTATTTATTTATTTCAAATGGCAGGCGTTTTGGTAGCTATCATTAGCCATTTAGCTGACTTCGGGCTTCACAGAGGGAAAGTTCATCAAAGTAGCAGAAAGTTGAGGGGTGGGAAACAGTAGAGCGATTCACAGATGTAAAAGAGGCAGGCAGACACAAAGGCATAGAAAAAGGTAAGACGAGTACTGTGAAAGGGGCCTAATATAACAAGCATTCGGGGCATGGTAGTTTGAAGTGAGAAGTCAACCGCCGGTTAATAGACTTTTTTGCCGTATGAGTATGCGTTGCCCAGGGTGCACCACGTGGAGGTAAGTCTATCGCACACCCCTAGCTTCGATAGTTATTCTATTCTATTCTCACTATTCTTAATGACATAATACCGTGCAATTTATAGAAAAATCTTAACGATTATGCTCAAATTGTTAACCTTGTTGTTAATCGGTCAGGAGAAAATTGTTCCTTGTCTCTAACTCAGTGTTTCAATCGATCAACGTGAATTGGAGATCCATCACACCCACTCAGTTTCATTTTATTACCAGCCAATCTCTATGAGAAAGAACAGTTCATTGTTGAGTAGACTTTGCATACGTGCTTACCTGGAGAAAAAAATATATATTAGACGATAGAGGAGAAGTTTGTGTTATAAAGAGCATCATATGACAGAAAGGCAAATGAGTAATAATAAGTATTATGATTAGCCGTTTTGCATTTAGCTGCAAAAGATTTGTCATAGTCAAATATTTCGTGTTAAATTTTGGCATATCTGCGAAATGCTGTATAATTTGAGCATTGCTTGGGACGAACATTTCTTGATAATTCGCCATGCTTAGGAAATGTTGAAGATTTCTTACTTGGTAGATTGATCTTCTCAAACAGATATGCTTTTCTATATGCGCTAATATAATGGCGTGAGAAATCAATTTCTTTCTGCTCAAATATGCAAATCTCTAGCTGATTCGTAATTCCCAATAGCTCCAGACGTTCAAATACTTGCTCTCGATGTTGTTCGTGCGCTTCAGAGTTGAGAATGATGAGAGGGTCTACTTTTGTTCCGCTGAAATCTCTTTCCCCTTGGAAAGAGATCTTCAAAATCCTACTTGAAGCTTTCGTTAATGAACCATTTGTCGAATAATCCTACCTCGCTTTTAAGTTTTTCCCGTGACATCAAATTCAATTAAGCATTTTAAGACTATTAATAGTCCATGGTTATATTCCAAATATTTTTGATCGGAATTCAGGTTTATGACAAATGGCCTAATTGTTGAAGTGTAAGTAGTTC